GTACAAAACACAATCAAATGTGTCCATAGTAGGAAAGCAGCATGTAAAGGATTTGGGAATAATGATGTCTGACGACCTAACGTTTAGGGAGCATAACCAAGCAAATATTGCGTCAGCCAGGAAAATGATAGGATGGATTACGAGAACTTTCAAATCCAGGGATCCCATCACAATGGTTGTACTTTTCAAGTCACTTGTACTGTCCCGTCTTGAGTACTGCTCAATACTCACTTCCCCTTTCAGAGCAGGAGAGATTGCTGAAACAGAGGAATACAGAGAACATATACGGCACGCATAGACGCGATAAAGCACCTAAGTTATTGGGATCGTCTCAAAGCTCTCCAAATGTACTCACTAGAAAGAAGACGGGAGACATATCAAATAATATACACGTGGAAGATACTGGAGGGCCAGGTCCCAAGTCTACACAGTAAAAAACAACATACTAGAGTGAACGATATGGAAGAAAATGCAGAATAGAACCAGTGAAGAGCAGAGGTGCCATAGGCACAATCAGAGAACACTGTATAAACATCAGTGGTCCGCGGTTGTTCAACGTCCTCCCAGCGAGCATAAGAAATATTGCCGGAACAACCGTGGACATCTTCAAGAGAAAAGTAGATAATTTTCTCCAAGGAGTGCCGGACCAACCGGGCTGTGGTGGATATGTGGGCCTGCGGGCCGTTGCAAGCAACAGCCTAGTGGACCAAGCTCTCGTAAGTCAATCCTGGCCTCTAGTCAGGCTTGGGGAGTAGAACTACTCCCAGAACCCCATCAAGCAGGTATCGTGCCTCGCATGGCGTCTCCCGCTCACTTGCGTCTAACGGTGAGGGGCGCTGATCGTGCCACCCCTTCCATGCCTTTTCCCTCCGTGTCGCCCCCCTCCGTTCCACCCCCTCCGTGACTCCCCCTCCGTGCCTTCCCTTCCGTGCCTCCCCCTCCGTGTCTCTCTCTCCGTGCCTCAACCTCCCTGGCCCTGACCGTGCATGTTGGCTCCACTGGTATTGACACACGTGACGTGGGCTGGTGGAGTGTTGTCGCCGGCAGCAGGAGGTGAAGTCACCAGCCTCCTGTGTACTCTTCACTTTGCTCTTCTCGTGGACACACACGGCTCAATGTGTGTGTGCTCACCTGCCACGGTCTGCAACGGCAAGTTCTAGTTCTCTGGCTACCGCCTCCTAGCTATTAGCGTTCCGTTTGCTAGCCTTTGGAACCCCGTCTCCTAGCAATTTGGTTCCTATATCCTAGTTCATTAGGCCCGCCTCTTAGCTCTTTGGGTCCTGTTTCCTAGCTCTTCGGGGCCTGCCTCCTAGCTCTTCGGGGCCTGCCTCCTAGCTCTTAGGGGCCTGCCTCCTAGCTTTTTGGTGCGGCCGTTTTAGCTCTTGGAGTCCTCCTTCTAGTTCTTCGGGGTCCCGCTTCCAAGCTCTCTGCATCTAGGGTTTTGTTTCATCGTCGTATTTGCCCTTGAAACTGTAGATGTGTGCCTGGGAGCGGTCCGCTTGCCTAGGGCGTGCCTCGCCCCCACTGGTGTTTGACCGCCCGCGTGACCATGCCCACCAAGCAACACACTGACAAGGCTGCACACCTAAGATTGCAACACTCACTGTTGCCTCGAGATTTTCTCCAGACTCACATTCGCCTATTTTGCCTCACTTGTACTCATCTTCTCAACACACAGGGACAATGATAGCGGGATCTGGAGCGTATGAAGTGGCGTAATACGCAAAGACTCTCCCTGTTAATGAAAGTAGTTTAAAAGGGATATTAGCTGGTTCCTGTTGTGTTGGTCATGCATATGTGTACTCGTAGTGTACACTAGGGTACACTAGGGCTGCCCAGGTACCAGGCAGAGAGCACAGCACCTGCTGCCAATGAGCCACAGGAAACATGATGGCACACCCTCCCAGGTGTGCCATCATGAGAGAACTCGCTGGGAGAACCTCGCCACAAACAAGAACTTCCACATCCGGGTGTAAGAATATGACAGCGAGAAGTGTGTTCTCGAAGACGCTAAGTGGCAGACCTGCATTTACTACACAACAATAACTGTCGCATTACTCAATAATACACAACCCAGACACACAAACACTTGCGACATCCCCAGCACACAGCATGAGGCCCCGGTGGACACCAACACCTGTCCACCATCATGTATCATTCCCACACCAGCAGCACAACCACACACAAGCCACCACAACCACACACACACAAGCCACCACAACCTACACCCCAACCGCCCTCCCCGCCAGTGCTGAGGTCAACACCACAACCTCCCAGTATACCATTATGTAGTTTACACTATACAGGCATTTCTGCTTCTATACTCTAGTTAAAACTGCTTCCCAAGCTGGGGTCCATGTCCCCTTGGAGGGGCGGGGGCGTTCTTGCAATATGTTGGGGCCATAGGTTGAGGCAGTGTATAGGTTATAATACCAGAGGGCCAGGGACAGGGTGACAGGGTGACTCTCTACTGGGTGTAGGTGTGCTGGGTGTAGGGGGCATTAATGTGGACGCTCTATGAAAAGGGGTACCGCCAGTAAAGAGTTTGGGCGCCAGTGTGTAAGACCAGTACGAGGCCTCACCGGTACTCCCCGGTCTTACCCACCACCAGGTGGTGCCAGTGGACCTAGCCCACTACCTGGGCTAGGTCCTGGCACTATCTCTCTTACTATCTCTGGCACTGAGATGTCTGTGAGTAATGTCAGAGATTACTATGTAGTCGCAATGCCTTGGCGCTTTCTCCTGATAGTTCCCCTCACTTCTGACAATGTCCCTGGTACTGTCCTTGGCACTGTCCTTGGTACTGTCCCTGGCACTGTCTCTGGCACTGTCCCTAATACTGGCCCTCTGGTACTGTCTCTGACAATGTCTCTGGCATTGTCTCTGGCAGTTTCTGGCACTGCTTCTCGCATGAAAGAAATGTGGACACTTGTATACCATGCGAGGAGAGGCAGGTGTTCCCTGCCTGCCTCAGTCATCACCAGTGGGTGATCCAACTCACTCATGCTCGGTACATCTATTATTTTTACCCTCGGAAAAAAAAGTGTATATTCACCCACTGGTTGTGTGAGTGAACATAGTGGGTAGCAGCCTGTACAACACCTCCCAGGAGGGCAGAAAAGTCACTGGGGTTTTCATCTTGTCATTGTTATCCATCCGTCTGCAAGTTCCTTCAAGGTGAAGGTGCAGGCTGCCATCACCTGTCCGCCGGTAAGCCGTGGCCTCAGTCCGGCGCCAAGGGTCAAGGAGACTGAGCAACATACATAATCGTATAGTTTAGCGAATTCTTATTTTATTATGTAAATGATGTTTTCACATCCTTTCCTCCGTTATCATTGTGCATTTTCCCCTTCCATAATCTGAAGAATGACTTGGATCACTCTGTTTGTATTGCCATACCTATATCTATGTATATATCTATGTATTTACGTATCTATGTATTTACGTATGTATGTTAGCCTAGAATTTTAAAAGCACCGAATCACCTTCTGTGGTTGATTGTTCAATAAACCCTTGAACTATATGTTTAACACATCTCTAACCCTGTCCATGGAGGACAGAAGAAAATGTATATATGCTGGTTAGAATTGTAAATGTGTGGCCACGTCTGTGGTAGAAAATAATAAAAATAAAAAAAAATAAAAAAAAATTACCATACCTTGCAGAGTGGTTCATGATATTAATGGAAGTGCAAGTTCTCTTCTTGAATTGGATCCTAAGTAAACTATATATGTATAATGATAGCATATAAATAAGTCGAGGCTAAACATTATTATGTACATGTATGCTTTTCTAGTAACCAGGAGAGCCCAGTTTTACCTCTTTACAAGAGGTGTAGTTGGTGCGAGGCTTCTCTTCCCACGATGACTGGACAACTGTTGGTGGTCCAACCTGTCCTCTTAAAAAGAACGTCGCTTTTGGCCGTTTGCCCATATGGCCGAATTTGGACGTAATTTGAAATTGAAAAAAATATGAAAATAAATTTGGGATTTTTTTTTCAACAACAGTAAGTTAAGGGTCCTCTGATAGGTTAGGTGGGCAGGAAATTCTCATAAAGTTTCAAAACGTTATGAAAAACGTTAATTTAAAGTGCCCTCTTATAACCTCTGCGCGTACGCCGGACGACTCAAATAGAAAACGGAACAGAACGTCACTTTTGTGAGTGGATTTCATTTCAAATTACGTCCAAATTTGGCCATAGTGCGCATACCAGCCAAAAGTGACGTTCTTTTTAAGAGGACGGGTTGACCGGTCGGCGGCCAACTCGTCCTCGCCAATAATGAATTGCATTTTGATGTCAAAATCCCCCAACGCACAAAATATGATGCACTATAAATCACAGCGGCGCACAATCACGTTTTCTATGCATAGGTCCATCGGTTTGGCTAGGTTAGGGCAATTTAGTGAGCCCGTCCTCAGAGTACAGTGAGGCGAGACACCAAACCCATTCTTACACCAACTGGATGTTGTTGTTAAAGATTCGCTACCTGGAACAAAGTTCCAAGTAGCACGGGCTATGGTGAGCCCGTAGATATTTGCCAACTGGATATTTACCTGGATATTTGTGATGGGCTGAAAGCAATATTATGATTCCTATAGCAGCCTGTTTGAAAATTGGCAAATTAACCTGTGTCCAAAGAAGATAATATTCTTAAGTGATAATTTTATTTTATCATAAATTGTTTGTTTAAAATATAAAAAGCCTATGCTTAACTCGTCTTTGAAAAGGTCTAAAAATGTAGTTTTCTGTAAATATAATTCTAAGGGATACTCAAATAGTTTTTGAAATTCAAATTTCACATTTTGAAGATAATACACAGTATTAACGTAACCAAACATAATGAAACCTAACCTAACCCAACCTAACCTTAATCTAACCATGACTAGTAAACAGATAACAGCAATAATGACTTAGTGGTTTTGATGTGATTACCACTAGGGGACTTCTTCTCTGAAGAGAGGTTATAAATTATGAAATTTTTGTGACGTGACAACTTAAGATGACGGAGTGTATTGTTGACGGTTAGACTAGGCTATAGTGATGTGTCTTGCATCTAGCTTTGATGTGACCACTTGGTGATGATGACTAGTGTTGATGACAGCCGCTAGGGTGATGTGACCACTTGGTGGTGATGACTAGTGTTGATGACCGCCGCTAGGGTGATGTGACCACTTGGGGGTGATGACTAGTGTTGATGACAGCCGCTAGGGTGATGTGACCACTTGGTGATGATGACTAGTGTTGATGACAGCCGCTAGGGTGATGTGACCACTTGGTGATGATGACTAGTGTTGATGACCGCCGCTAGGGTGATGTGACCACTTGGTGATGATGACTAGTGTTGATGACAGCCGCTAGGGTGATGTGACCACTTGGTGATGATGGCTAGTGTTGATGACCGCCGCTAGGGTGATGTGACCACTTGGTGGTGATGACTAGTGTTGATGACCGCCGCTAGGGTGATGTGACCACTTGGTGATGATGACTAGTGTTGATGACAGCCGCTAGGGTGATGTGACCACTTGGTGATGATGACTAGTGTTGATGACAGCCGCTAGGGTGATGTGACCACTTGGTGATGATGGCTAGTGTTGATGACCGCCGCTAGGGTGATGTGACCACTTGGTGATGATGGCTAGTGTTGATGACAGCCGCTAGGGTGATGTGACCACTTGGTGATGATGGCTAGTGTTGATGACAGCCGCTAGGGTGATGTGACCACTTGGTGATGATGGCTAGTGTTGATGACAGCCGCTAGGGTGATGTGACCACTTGGTGATGATGGCTAGTGTTGATGACAGCCGCTAGGGTGATGTGACCACTTGGTGTTGATGACAGCCGCTAGGGTGATGTGACCACTTGGTGATGATGGCTAGTGTTGATGACCGCCGCTAGGGTGATGTGACCACTTGGTGATGATGGCTAGTGTTGATGACAGCCGCTAGGGTGATGTGACCACTTGGTGATGATGGCTAGTGTTGATGACAGCCGCTAGGGTGATGTGACCACTTGGTGGTGATGACTAGTGTTGATGACAGCCGCTAGGGTGATGTGACCACTTGGTGGTGATGACTAGTGTTGATGACAGCCGCTAGGATGATGTGACCACTTGGTGATGATGGCTAGTGTTGATGACAGCCGCTAGGGTGATGTGACCACTTGGTGATGATGGCTAGTGTTGATGACCGCCGCTAGGGTGATGTGACCACTTGGGGGTGATGACTAGTGTTGATGACAGCCGCTAGGATGATGTGACCACTTGGTGATGATGACTAGTGTTGATGACCGCCGCTAGGGTGATGTGACCACTTGGTGATGATGACTAGTGTTGATGACCGCCGCTAGGGTGATGTGACCACTTGGTGGTGATGACTAGTGTTGATGACCGCCGCTAGGATGATGTGACCACTTGGTGGTGATGACTAGTGTTGCTGACCGCCGCTAGGGTGATGTGACCACTTGGTGGTGATGACTAGTGTTGATGACAGCCGCTAGGATGATGTGACAACTGCCCCAGGTAACTGGCAGGGGACATGTTAGATTGGTTTGTGTTTCCTCAGGAATCTCTATATCCCAACCCGTCTTAAAGTACCTTGCAGTTGACTGGTGGTTGGTGGGGGTGTCGACACGAGTAATATCTCTCGTTAGTGGTGGCAGCGAGGAAGCAGAAGAGGGGAGGAAGGGCGTCACTGACTTTCCGATCATAAATTAAGCTGGACCACTTGTACGCCCGCCCGCCCGCAGCCCGGTCATACGCCCACAGTGTCCTGTCAACATACGCCCACAATGTCCTGTCAACATTTCTTTTGTTTTAAATTTTTTTATGTGTGCTTTGTCTGGCTACCGGAAGTAGCATATAATGGTACAGTAAATTCAATCTGGATACAATCACTAACGTCAATCGCGATGTACCTGCAGTACCCCTCGCCGTGACTACCGTACCGTGTGGTGCGGTACCTCCAGTACCCTCACTGTACACTGTACCGCTGGAATGATCAAAATTATCCAGAGAATCGAAAGGAAAGGTCGATGTCGAAAAATGTCACAGGAACTTGTCGACCACACAAAACACGGCCGGTATAACTCCAATTTAAAAAACAAAACAAAAATTGCCGTTAAAATGTAAAAAAAAAAAGAAAAGTGCTTTAACTATTTTGTGCATTGATCGATCATTGTAAAGTGCGTCTCTCGCACTCTGTCAATATATCTAAGAGAGAGAGAATGTCTGTCTATCTGTCAAGGGTTGGAAGTCCGATGCTTGGGACTCAACCTGCAGGGGGGAATGGTCTAGGGCACGGGACAGACATAGACAGGTCCAGGTCGCCAGAATTCAAGAGGAAACAGCATGCCCGGGTCACATTGGGACCCCTACGACGATTTTCACCACTGCCCGCTGGAATATTTTAAAAGCATGAATGCAATTTACTTTTTTCTCACAGTAATATACCCCCCCAATATTCACTGGTCTCGGGAAAATTTACATACATTTGCTGTTATTCATACTTTGGTCATAAATCATACTTAGCATAAAATAAATGATCCTCCCAAAGCTCCAAAGACTTTCTCAAGCCCTGCCCCCCTTTCTCAAAACAAACAGGCATCTATTATATTTTGTAATGTTTCACACCACTAGGCTCCTCCCACTGGTGGATCACCCACACGCCAATGGTAGACTATTACATTACTTTTATACAAGAGCCGGACAGAAAGATAATCAACAAAATGACAGAGATAGGCCTGCTATGAGACCGGGTTGACCAGGGCAAAGAAACGGACAGGAAAACAAACAGAAAAACAGACAGGTTGACAACACCCAGAAACAGAGGCAAACTTAGAGAGAAACAGAAATAGGGAGAGAAGGAAGAAGGAGGGACGTTTGAAGAAAGGGAAGAATAGAGATGTTTGAAAAGAGGGAAGGAGATAAGGGGGAGAGGGTGGAGACAGGTAGAGAGGGGAAGAAGAAGTGAGAGAGGGGGAAAATTGGGAGAGAGGGACGTGAAATGTGAGACGGGAGAAAGGTGAAGAGGGAGAGAGGGAAGGAGAGAGCAACGAAGTTGGAGAGGGTGGGGGGGAGATGAGAGAGAGAGTGGAGAGGGGAAGAGAGACCCGGACATCTGTCATCTGACTTAGAAATGGCGAATGAATTTAATAGCTTCTTTTCATCGATTGGTGCTACCCTTGCAAGTAAAATCCCACTGACTCAGACACATATCAACACATATCTCTCAGGCAGCTATCCAAACTCTCTTCTCCTCTCACCAGTCAGCCCGACAGATGTTGTGTCCATCATACACTCACTAAAAACCAAAGCTGGGAACATCAGTGAAATCCCATCCATTGTATACAAGAGCGCCTCCCATGCCCTTGCGCCACCTATAGCTCTGCTGTTCAACAAATCCCTTGAGTGTCATACCTTCCCTGATATCCTTAAAAAAGCAAGAGTAACGCCAGTTCATAAAGGAGGTAATCCGGCAGACAAACAACTATAGACCAATATCGAACCTACCCATACTATCAAAAATACTTGAAAAAATTATCTACAAACAGCTCTACTCCTATCTCGTAAAATTCGACATTCTTAGCCCCTGTCAGTTTGGATTCCGCTCTCAAAAGAGTACCAACGATACAATTATTAGTCTCCTTGATATAATTTACTCAGCTCTTGACAAAAATGAGTTTCCAATTGGACTCTTCATTGACCTGAGAAAGGCCTTTGATACTGTTAATCACGATTACCTCTTAAGTAAACTCCATCATTATGGAATCCGAGGCCATGCACTAGACTATATCCAATCCTATCTTAGTGATAGACACCAATGTGTAGCCATCAATAATATAATCTCTCCCATTCTACCAATAACTGTTGGAGTGCCACAGGGCAGCATCTTGGGACCTCTTCTTTTTCTTATATACATTAATGGTCTGCCTAATGTCTCTAACATTCTGAAACCTATTTTGTTTGCTGATGATATTACCCTCATCTACTCCAACCCCAACCCACATACACTAAATGGTGTTGTTAATAATGAACTAAAAAAAGTCCACTTATGGATGTCAACCAACAAACTAACACTTAACATAGAAAAGACCTACTACATCCTATTCGGAAGCAAATCTACAAATGCAATTCAGCTTCAGATTGACAATGTAAACATTAGCAATCAAAATGATGGAAAGTTTCTTGGCATATTCCTAGACAAGAGACTCAACTTCAGTACCCACATACAACACATAACTAAGAAAGTCTCTAAAACAGTTGGTATACTCTCCAAAATCAGATATTATGTTCCTAACTCTGCTCTCATCTCTCTATATTATGCACTAATCTATCCCTATCTCAACTATGGTATCTGTGCATGGGGTTCAACCACTGCAAACCACCTCAAGTCCATCATCACCCAGCAAAAATCTGCTATCAGAATAATATCAAATTCTGCTTTCAGACAACACACAGCCCCCTTGTTTAACTCCCTAAACATGCTAAACATAATCTCACTCCACAAATTCTCTTGTGTCAACTACATTTACAAAACCCTGTTCTTAAATGCAAATCCTTGTCTGAAGCTCTTCTTGGACAGATGTAATAGGACCCATTATCACCACACCAGAAATAAATATCTCTTTGATATCCCCAGAGTTAAACTTAATCTGTGTAAACACTCTATGCAAATAAAGGGACCCAGTTTATGGAACTCACTCCCTACTGAATTGAAAAGCTGTCCAACTTTTACATCATTCAAAATCAATACTAAAAAGTACCTAATTTCATCTTCATAGTTTTTCACTTTTTGCCTTAAAATTGCACTGTATCAATTGCTACCCAATCTCCCAACCTTTATGTTCCCAATTTGAACATCTTTACCATTGTGATCATTGCTGTTTTCTTATATGTGCTGCCAATCTGTTGTATGGTGTTTATAAATCTTATTTATCTGTATCTTTTGCTACCCAGTCTCCCAATCTTTATGTACCCAATCTGAACATCTTTACCATTGTGATCATTGCTGTCTTATATGTGCTGTCAATCTGCTGTATGGTGTCTATTAACCTTGTTTAAATTAATAATCAAGCTGTCAATGTAATCAATCAGAGCTTTAATATAACAATGTGCTTTAATATACCTACTTATCTCTCTCATCTCATTTTTCTCTTGTAATGTATCTTTATCATTTATCAATTCTGATTGAAATTACCTACTTAAAATTATCTGCTAGATTAAGGACCTGCCCGAAACGCTGCGCGTACTAGTGGCTTTACAAGAATGTAAATACTGTACTATCCAATGTATTCTCACAAACCCAATGTACCTTCTTGTATATATATAAATAAATAAATAAATAAATAAATAAAGTAGAGAGGGAAGAGACGAGAGATTGGGAGAGAGGTGTGAGATGGTATGTTGAGGGAGAGCGGGATAGAAAGGTGAAGGCGGGAGAGAGGAAGAGGGAAGGAGAAGGGGAGAGGAGAGGACAGGACAGGACAGGAGAGAGGAGAGGAGATGGTAGGGAAAATTTGAAAGGAGGATAGGGAAAGCGAGATGGAATGAGAGAGAGAGAGAGAGAGAGAGAGAGAGAGAGAGAGAGAGAGGGGGAGAGAGAGAGAGAGAGAGAGAGGAGAGATAGGAGGAGGAAAGAGATATAGGAGGAGGAAAGAGATACCCGGGAGCAGCCGGTTAACCCCCCCCCCCCAAAAAAAAAAAAAAAAATATATATATATATATATATATATATATATATATATATATATATATATATATATATATATAATAAATGTGTGTGTATATATATGTATGTTGTAGCCAATAGCTTAAAAAATCTAACATTAAATTTTTTCTATAGCGTAATTATGAAATTTTTCGTTACATTACATATGTTTGGGATATTTTTTGAGTAAAAACTAGCATAGAAATTTTACCAATCCTAACCTACCTAACCGAACCTACTTAACCTAATCTTCTTCCTCTAACTTAACCCATCCTAATGTAACGTAACTTATCATAACCTAACTGAGCCTATTTAACCTAACCTACCTGATTCTACTTAACCTAACCTAACCTAATCTAACCTATCCTAATCTAACCTAAACTACCTAACCTAACCTATCCTAATGTAATGTAACTTATCCTAACCTACCTAACTGAGCCTACTTCATTGAACCTACGTACCTAATTGAACCTACCTAACCTAACCTATCCTAATCGAACTTAAAATATCCTAACCTAACCTATTTAACCTAACCTACCTAACGTATCCTAAGCTAACCTAACCTATTTTATCCTAATCTATCCTAACCTATGCTAACCTACCTAACCAAACTTTTCCTATCCTAACCTACCTAGCCTAACCTATCCTAACCTACCTAGCCTTACATATCAGAACAATCATTAATTCATGTTCCTAATATATCAAAATCGTTTAGAATGATCATTGGAAGAAATATTTGAAAATGTCAAAAATTGTTAGGCCTGTTAGGCAAATCGGGCCTTGCTTATTTAACCATATATTGCGGTTCTGCCTATTCTCTCTCTCTCTCTCTCTCTCTCTCTCTCTCTCTCTCTCTCTCTCTCTCTCTCTCTCTCTCTCTCTCTCTCTCTCTCTCTCTCTCTCTCTCTCTCTCACACACACACACACACAGTCATGTTTTTATAGTTCCGGAAATGGGTGGAGAACTACTGGCCAAACAACTATCTTATCTACAGTGAATTTACTTCATAATGGGGGCTTGCAGTGATAAAAAAAAATTACTGCATAATTCTGCACTAACCCGTAGAGCGCATTATTTCGAGTGCGTCAGAGTACCAGGCTACACAGAGGGACCAAACATTGTGCCAGGAGCCGTCATCACGCACATACAATCATTCATAACAATCGTTCCTAGCAATCATTCATAACAATCATTCATGACAATTATTTATAACAGTCATTCATAACTTTTATCCACAGCAATCATTCATAACATGCACATACATCATTCATAACAAGGGCTCTCATCTCTTAATTCCCCCCGGACTGAAAACGAAATAGTACATTTAGTCCTGTAAACAGCGCCAGAAGTCCTATACACAGTTGCCTCCACATAGTACCGGTAGTCCTGTAGACAGTACCAGTAGTCCTGTAGACAGTACCGGTAGTCCTGCAGACAGTACCAGTAGTCCTGCAGACAGTACCAGTAGTCCTGCAGACAGTACCAGTAGTCCTGCAGACAGTACCGGTAGTCCTGTAGACAGTACCAATAGTCCTGCAGACAGTACCTGTAGTCCTGCAGATAGTACCAGTAGTCCTGCAGATAGTACCAGTAGTCCTGCAGACAGTACCGGTAGTCCTGCAGACAGTACCAGTAGTCCTGCAGACAGTACCAGTAGTCCTGCAGACAGTACCAGTAGTCCTGTAGACAGTACCGGTAGTCCTGCAGACAGTACCTGTAGTCCTGTAGACAGTACCAATAGTCCTGTAGACAGTACCTTTAGTCCTGCAGACAGTACCAGTAGTCCTGCAGACAGTACCTGTAGTCCTGCAGACAGTACCAATAGTCCTGTAGACAGTACCAGTAGTCCTGCAGACAGTACCAATAGTCCTGTAGACAGTACCTGTAGTCCTACAGACAGTACCAGTAGTCTTGTAGACAGTACCAGTAGTCCGCAGACAGTACCTGTAGTCCTGCAGACAGTACCAGTAGTCCGCAGACAGTACCTGTAGTCCTGTAGACAGTACCAGTAGTCCGCAGACAGTACCTGTAGTCCTGCAGACAGTACCAGTAGTCCGCAGACAGTACCTGTAGTCCTGTAGACAGTACCTGTAGTCCTGCAGACAGTACCAATAGTCCTGCAGACAGTACCAGTAGTCCTGCAGACAGTACCAGTAGTCCGCAGACAGTACCTGTAGTCCTGCAGACAGTACCAGTAGTCCGCAGACAGTACCAATAGTCCTGCAGACAGTACCAGTAGTCCTGCAGACAGTACCAGTAGTCCGCAGACAGTACCAATAGTCCTGCAGACCGTACCAGTAGTCCTGCAGACAGTACCAGTAGTCCGCAGACAGTACCTGTAGTCCTGCAGACAGTACCAGTAGTCCGCAGACAGTACCTGTAGTCCTGTAGACAGTACCTGTAGTCCTGCAGACAGTACCAATAGTCCTGTAGACAGTACCTGTAGTCCTGTAGACAGTACCAGTAGTCCTGTAGACAGTACCAGTAGTCCTGCAGACAGTACCAGTAGTCCTGTAGACAGTACCAGTAGTCCTGCAGACAGTACCAGTAGTCCTGTAGACAGTACCTGTAGTCCTGCAGACAGTACCAATAGTCCTGCAGACAGTACCAGTAGTCCTGCAGACAGTACCAGTAGTCCTGCAGACAGTACCAGTAGTCCTGTAGACAGTACCAATAGTCCTGCAGACAGTACCAATAGTCCTGCAGACAGTACCAGTAGTCCTGCAGACAGTACCTGTAGTCCTGCAGACAGTACCAATAGTCCTGCAGACAGTACCTGTAGTCCTGCAGACAGTACCAATAGTCCTGCAGACAGTACCAATAGTCCTGTAGACAGCACCAATAGTCCTGCAGACAGTACCAGTAGTCCTGCAGACAGTACCAGTAGTCTTGCAGACAGTACCAGTAGTCCTGCAGACAGTACCAGTAGTCTTGCAGACAGTACCAGTAGTCCTGCAGACAGTACCAATAGTCCTGCAGACAGTACCAATAGTCCTGTAGACAGTACCAATAGTCCTGCAGACAGTACCAGTAGTCCTGCAGACAGTACCTGTAGTCCTGCAGACAGTACCAGTAGTCCTGCAGACAGTACCAGTAGTCCTGCAGACAGTACCAGTAGTCCTGCAGACAGTACCAATAGTCCTGCAGACAGTACCAGTAGTCCTGCAGACAGTACCAATAGTCCTGCAGACAGTACCAGTAGTCCTACAGACAGTACCTGTAGTCCTGCAGACAGTACCAGTAGTCCTGTAGACAGTACCGGTAGTCCTGTAGACAGTACCAGTAGTCTTGTAGACAGTACCAGTAGTCTTGCAGACAGTACCTGTAGTCCTGCAGACAGTACCAATAGTCTTGCAGACAGTACCTGTAGTCCTGCAGACAGTACCAATAGTCCTGCAGACAGTACCAATAGTCCTGCAGACAGTACCAGTAGTCCTACAGACAGTACCTGTAGTCCTGCAGACAGTACCAATAGTCCTGCAGACAGTACCAATAGTCCTGCAGACAGTACCAATAGTCCTGCAGACAGTACCTGTAGTCTTGCAGACAGTACCTGTAGTCCTGCAGACAGTACCAATAGTCCTGCAGACAGTACCAATAGTCCTGCAGACAGTACCAGTAGTCCTGCAGACAGTACCAGTAGTCCTGCAGACAGTACCAGTAGTCCTACAGACAGTACCTGTAGTCCTGCAGACAGTACCTGTAGTCCTGCAGACAGTACCAATAGTCCTGCAGACAGTACCAATAGTCCTGCAGACAGTACCTGTAGTCTTGCAGACAGTACCTGTAGTCCTGCAGACAGTACCAATAGTCCTGCAGACAGTACCAGTAGTCTTGTAGACAGTACCAGTAGTCCTGCAGACAGTACCAGTAGTCCTGCAGACAGTACCTGTAGTCCTGCAGACAGTACCAGTAGTCCTGTAGACAGTACCAGTAGTCCTACAGACAGTACCAGTAGTCCTGTAGACAGTACCGGTAGTCCTGCAGACAGTACCTGTAGTCCTGCAGACAGTACCAGTAGTCCTGTAGACAGTACCAGTAGTCCTGCAGACAGTACCAATAGTCCTGTAGACAGTACCAGTAGTCCTGCAGACAGTACCAATAGTCCTGCAGACAGTACCTGTAGTCCTGCAGACAGTACCAATAGTCCTGCAGACAGTACCAATAGTCCTGTAGACAGTACCAGTAGTCCTGTAGACAGTACCAGTAGTCCTGCAGACAGTACCAGTAGTCCTGCAGACAGTACCAGTAGTCCTGTAGACAGTACCAGTAGTCCTGTACACAGTACCAGTAGTCCTGTAAACAGTGCCAGTAGTCCTGTACACAGTACCAGTAGTCCTGTACACAGTACCAGTAGTCCTGTAAACAGTACCAGTAGTCCTGTAGACAGTACCAGTAGTCCTGCAGACAGTGCCAGTAGTCCTGCAGACAGTACCAGTAGTCCTGTAAACAGTACCAGTAGTCCTGTACACAGTACCAGTAGTCCTGTAAACAGTACCAGTAGTCCTGTACACAGTACCAGTAGTCCTGTTGACAGCTAAGATAACCTTCCCTCACACCGTACTGGTGACGATGACCCTGGAGTCCATCTTCCTGGTGGAAACTCAGCTGCTAGGAGTACCACTCTACCAAATGTCAAGACGACATAATTGTAACGTCAGGGCTTAAGCCATCAGGAAGAAGGTGGCGTGTGCAGACGCTGGTATTTTCAGCTCTGTAGCGCCTCATCGTGGCTTGGTCTTCCCTCGCTGGAGACAGGAAGCCTGTAGGCTTCTTGCGGGAGTTATAAAACGCCTGGCTTTACCCGGGATGCGAACTGGAACTAGCAGGTACATTGTTCATCACGATGAAATGTGTCAGAGAAACATGTATAGGGGGAAAGTAACATCATTAGGCTAACAGACGTTGTTACAGCTCGTATAAGACTTGGCTATAAGTATCTTTCTGGCAGTTGGGCTTGTATTGGGATCTGGATGAAGTAAAGTGTAAAGTGTGTGGACACAGACAAGGACACACACTTGAGCATTACATCGTAGATTGAAAAAACTTGAGCCATTTGAGAGATAAATCTAAACTCACGCTGTATGAAATAGCAAAACAACTTATTATTAAAAATAAAATACCTGAAATCCTTGCACTGTATCCATGTTTCGCTTCCAGAAGATAAGCGACATATGAGATTAAGAAACAAAACAGTGTAGTGTGAAGCCTAATAATAATTATCAACAACTTTTCAATGACCCTGTCATTGACCTCCATAGTTAAAACAGCTAAATAATAGCAAATGACCTACCATTAATGTATAATGATTAACTGTAAATACATAGCTTTTGAAATGGAACATTGTCTCTAACTAGCTGACAGTATAAGGTGTGAAGGATAGATGTAATTGTTAATGTAATAATCTCCGTTAAGGTCTGATAAAGACCTTTTGCGCCATCTCTAATCCTTTTTGCGCTACCGCTCACAGGATGAGTATGGGGTGGACTATGAACTAGCGGCCTCCAGCGGCAACAGTCAACACTGTTGGTAAGCCCCCAGGAAACTATTTATTTCTAGGAACACAGATACATCGGATAACCATTCCTAGGATCTGACTACCAGGTAGACAGATGCATCAGTTGTAAGGAAACGCCCCCCCCCCAGCCAACGACTGACCTTCCCAAGCACCAACGGGTTGTGAGGGAAGGGAGTTATCAGGGGAAAGGGCCAAGCCATTGTGACTTTAAAGCACTTGGAAGGGATCAGGATAAGGATTTAGGATGGGATGGGGGAAAGGAATGGCGCCCAACCACTTGGGCTGGACGGCAAAGCGTCGGTCTAGCTTTATGCAGGTCGGTGTTCAATCCCCGACCGTTCAAGTGGTTTGGTCAACGGGTTGTGAGCCAGCTGCGCCGACTACTGCGCTACAAGTCACTGTAGAGTTCACATACATCAAAATGCTTTCATAACATTGTTCTATTATTATAATAATAATCAATAAAAGTTCAACATCATGTACCCATAAAGTATGGTAATTACGAAGAGAAGCACTAAGCCAGTACGACTATATAGCACTTGGAAGGGATATGAGTACAGGCAGCAGGGACAGGCGGAGGAAAGGAATGGCGCCCAACCACTTGCAACCGTCGGGGCTCGAGCGGTGACCTGCAGCAAGCGAGCCACCCCCCTTCCCCCTCACTGTTCCGAGTCCAAACAGTCTTCACTCTGCCACATTCATGAGGGTGAACTTTGGGATAACACGTCACCATATTCAGTTACTGGTTGGGCCAAAAACTGGACCTGTTTAGCGGCCGTGAACTTCGTGATGGACGTAGTGACTGCTGCTCGCATGATACCTGACTGGTGGCCTGGTTCCTCATCTCTTGTATTCTTCTTCCTGCATAAGTTTACCTTAATGCATTGTCTGGAGAGGTTTAAGGTATACCTGTGTGAGTTTACCTTAATGCGTTGTCTGGGTAGGTCTTAAAATAACCCTGTACTAGTTTACTTTAACGTGTTACTTGGGGAGGTTCGAAATATACCTATACGAGTTTACCTTAACGCATTGTCTGGGTAGGTGTAAGATATACTTCGCGAATACTTGGCGTGGGTTCTGAGAGTTTTCAGCACCCCAAGCCCAGCCTGGAGCCATGCTTACCATGTGATTATTGGATCTAATAGACAGTTGCTTGGAGGAGCCCGCAGGCCCACATACCCCTTACACTCCGATTGGTCCGGCTCTTCTAGCAGGAACTTGTCTAATTTGTTCTTGAACACTGCCACTTTTGCTCCGGCAATAGTTCTTATATTTGTTAGGAGGATGCCGAAGAACCTTAGACTTCTGATGTTCCTACAGAGTTGTAGGAACCCGCCGGTGCGCCTGACAGTAATGTTAGCGGTAATAATAATTAGTTAATGTTAGTTACAATCAAAGAGGTCATTGTTGAAGTTAGTTTGTGAGCGAGTGTGGTGGGGAGGGGAGGGGGGGGGAGAGTGTTTATTATAAAATCGAACACAAGACGCTTCCACAAAGTTCCTTTTCAGATTGTCAAAACTGTATGTATCATTAGGCTAGGATGCATATGTTTTGTATTAGCTTAGGCTAGGATGTATATATTTTATATTAGCTTAGGCTAGGATGTATATATTTTATATTAGCTTAGGCTAGGATGTATATATTTTATATTAGTTTAGGCTAGGATGTATTATGCTCGAGTGGGTTAGGTTAGGTTAGATAAGTTTTATAATCCGTTGGTGAACATCTTGTGTGGGATGTGGCTTGTATCCAGTGTGTAGGATGTGGCCTGTATCCAGTGTGTGGGATGTGGCCTGTATCCAGTGTGTGGGATGTGGCTTGTATCCAGTGTGTAGGATGTGGCTTGTATCCAGTGTGTAGGATGTGGCTTGTATCCAGTGTATAGGATGTGGCTTGTATCCAGTGTGTAGGATGTGGCTTGTATCCAGTGTGTAGGATGTGGCTTGTATCCAGTGTGTAGGATGTGGCTTGTATCCAGTGTGTAGGATGTGGCTTGTATCCAGTGTGTAGGATGTGGCTTGTATCCAGTGTGTAGGATGTGGCTTGTATCCAGTGTGTAGGATGTGGCTTGTATCCAGTGTGTGGGATGTGGCTTGTATTCAGTGTGTAGGATGTGGCTTGTATCCAGTGTGTAGGATGTGGCTTGTATCCAGTGTGTGGGATGTGACTTGTATCCAGTGTGTGGGATGTGGCTTGTATCCAGTGTGTGGGATGTGGCTTGTATCCAGTGTGTAGGATGTGGCTTGTATCCAGTGTGTGGGATGTGACTTGTATCCAGTGTGTGGGATGTGGCTTGTATCCAGTGTGTGGGATGTGGCTTGTATCCAGTGTGTGGGATGTGGCTTGTATCCAGTGTGTGGGATGTGATACACACAGCTGCGCCGTGCGGTGTCTGGCGCAGAGGACAACACGCGCGGACAAATGACGGCGATGTAACGGTAAATCTTCCCGCCGTTGATTAAACATCACTGGAGCATGATGTGTCCCTCTGGCTTAACTGCACGTCTGGCAGCACCAGGACAACCTTGGGCCATAATGGGCCATGTTTCTACTTCGTTCTCAACCTTCTGGCAAGCCGTTATCTAATATATATTGTGTATATATTTCACATCCGTTTATAGGAAAATATAGGTGCCTTGATGTGTCAGCTTGGGTCGAGCGATATAGAAGCTGTAAAGTATAAGCGCTGAACATATCCCGAAAGTTTACCAACCACACCCCAATTATGTCCAGTGATGGGCCTAATTGTGGATACAAACTTAAGATAATATATCTTTATCTACATAACAGATTGTCTATTTGTTTGCCCAATAGGATACCAGACGCTTGGGGCTAGACTCGCCCAACTTCATAGGATAACACATGGGGCCATGGAATATAATAGGCCAATCAAGGTCACAGAGTGTCACGAAGTCTGAAATTAGGAATTTGTTTTCCGTAGAGTTTTGCTATTTTCCAATGCTTTGTAAATCAAGAGGAAAGAGTGGGGGGAGAGGGGGAAAGAGAGGAGACCTCTCCCTCAACCCCCTCTTGGAAAAGAGGAAGAAGGTGGAGAGGGGAAGCTATATGGAGATAATGAGAGCGTGGGGGAGATTATGAGAGACCCGGGCACAGCCGGATACCCCATCTAGTATCCTATATTTGTTTATTAACATTTCATATTTAATTTCATCTAACTCAACAAATATATACATTCTAGGTTATAAATCGTATACCTAACTTAATGTGAAGGTAGAAATAGTCTATAAGCTATTCTATTCTTTTAGGATGTATTTTATTATCTCAGTGAACTTGGGTTAACTTGAACATAACTTAACATAATGATATTAATCCCTCCAGGATATGTACCTTGGTGTAGGCTAGGCTGTGTGCTTCAAACACTCAATATGAGACCATTTAGCTCATTGCTGGGTGAAATGAGGTGAGTACAGCAGCTGGAACAGGGTATGAGAACAAGTATCTGGGGCAGGACGGATGGAAAGAATGGTGTCCAGCCGCTTGGACTATCTGGAACTGAGCGCGGACCAGCATGGAGGGAGGTCGTCACTCTACTTACCGAAAAGTCCAAGTGGTTGGACCAATTCCTGGGCGGATATATCAGAGTAATATGCTGTATATCACGATGTATAGTAGCACAAACAACCACTAAGAGACACGTGCATAGTGAGAGAAAAAATTATCTTTTTTACACCGAGTCAAAGGCTTTGTCGCCAGCTGCTAAAGGTAGTTAACAAAGGTCAATATGTTATGGGGCTAGCACTACCTCCCCATGTGCTGCTTCCTGGTGACCATGATCAACACTGCCGGTCATCTACCTTTTAATGTAATTAGGTTATATATGGAAACCCGCAGCCTAGTAATGCCTTCATATTATCCACATTGTGTCACTACGGGTAGTACGCTCTCTCGTGCTGCATATGTATGCATTTTATATCAGTATTATAATAGTAGTAGTAGTAGTATTATTTATTTATTATTATTATTATTACAATTATTATTATTAGTAGTAGTAGTATTATTATA